TTAGTTCATGATCTGTCATATCAGAAATTATGGCAGGAATTGCAGACGCTAAGTCTGGACAAAACTTTAAGAAACCCTTTGAAATCTGAATTATGACCACTATCTAGATAGGCCAAAATGACGTCAAAATAGCCAACAGGAAAAGTTACCTCTTTCCTGGATAGGTATGTTTAGTGGGACAAGACTGCCCTCTATAGACCAAATAACTAATTTGCGATCTGGAAGATAACCACACCTCTAGTGCTTCTATTGGGTTATCAACTGATGACGTACAGAGAGTCTGGCCCTTTAAAAGTTAAGACAAAGGAAAGACGAGAAGAGGACATATGCAAGAGAGGAGGGTATGCAAGAGATGCAGGCAACATATGCAAAGGAGAGGAGAGAGGAATTGGAAGTTTGGGGACTCCAACTCGGACAACATCTGAGACTAACACTCTACTCCTAAAACTCTAACACTTAGAATTTACTGACTTTCACCAACACCTCCATGCAGAGAGACATCCAAATAAGTTCCTGAGACTATCTACCAATCGGATGAAATATCTACTCAACTGGTAATTATACTGGTTTCATTTAATTAAATTAAATTAATTAAAATGTATTAATAGCATGATATATGACTTGGATAAAGCACGGTCAGATTTCCATATTAAGAAATCTTAGTTAACTAAGAATATATAGTTATAAACATTCCATTCTGCAGGTGGAATTAAGAATAATTATATATTGAAGTGATATTATCACGTGTTAGCATACCGCTGTTTTTATCCAGGTGTATTGATTTTCTCTAAATTAAGATAAGATATCTTTTAGACAAATTAAAAATCTGCTTATATAATATGGTAGATTCTCTTATTGGATGATTTAAGAAAATGACTAATGAACTGGTTTAAATGTTATTTTATTTAAAATGACATAAGAATAGATCTTAAATACCTAGGAGATCTAGCCAGCATTGGAAGGGTTATTCTAACTGTCTGCTAAACTTTACGACCTTATGCTGCACTCTGAGGAATTCTGTTCTTCGCTGTGAAAAGTTTCACTTAAGTCTGTGTTAAGGATACCTCATAAATCGTCAGAATTCTTGACAGAAAATGCTAGTTAGCCATTGAAACGTAATACCCATTTCTTTGTATTGCATACCATTTTATACTGAATATTCATTGATTATTGTCATGCATGTTGCATATTGTTATTATTAATTAATTTGTCATATAAATAAAAATCTATTTTTATACATTGTGATTATTTATATGAAATACTTTCCACTTAACACGATAAACGTTCTTTGGGATCTGAGAATTGAATTAGTGGGCAATTCTCACTGTTACTATTATTATCCCATAAATATCCCCACAATGTGAAATTTGGGGGGGTCAGTATGAGTGTGGCTGGGTGAATGGGCTGAAAGTGTTTGGGATGATAGTGTATGTGTAGGGGGTGACAGTGTGTGTGAAGTGGGTGTCGGTGTGTGTGGAGATGATAGTGTGCAGTTGATTGCTGTCAGGGTGTGTGTGGTTGGGGGTTGTGAGGGTCTGTGTGGTTAGGGGTTATCAGGGTGTGTATGGGGGGGTGACGGGGAGTGTGTATGGGGGGCTGTCACAGGGTGTGTGGGGAAGTGACAGTATGTGTGTGGTGGCTGTGACGGGGGGGATATGAGGTGGGGACTGTAAAAGGTGGTGTGTGGAAGCTGTAGCAGGGTGGGGGGGGGGCTGTGACAAGTTGTGTGGGGTGACAGGGTGGTGGTGGCTGTGAGGCTGTTGACCGATTGTGTGGGGCGGCTGTGACAGGGTTGGTCCGGCTTTAATAAGGTGTGTGGGGGGCTGTGACAGGATGGGGGCTGTGACAAGGTGGAGGGATTGTGACAGGATGGGGAGGCTGTGAAAGGGTAGGGGGAGCTGTGGCAGGGTTAGTGGGTCTCTGGCAGCATTAGGATGGGGCTGTGACAGGATTAGGGGGCTATGGCAGTGTGGGGAAGGATGTGACAGGGTTAGTTTTTTTTTTGACAGGGTAGGGGTTGCAACTGGCGGCATAAAGGACAAGCCTCCGGTCCCCCTCTTGTGTTAAGCCCTCAGTCTTAGACCGAAGACCCAACACTTCAATCTACCCTATTGTGATTTAGGCGGCCGCAAGGCCCCGGACCGTGCAAGGCCTTAGGCGGCCAACTAAATCGCCTAATTAGAGAGCCACCTCTGTTTAGACACATGAGTAGTATGACATTGTACAAATAAAAAATAAAACGTAGCGAACCTTGATACACGATGAGCTGAGATCAGCGAGATGCTGTTTCAATTTAGAACCTTTGAATGTCTTAGTGTACTACAAACGTAACCATATAAATGACAAAATCAATATTTGCGTATTATTGCAGAGCAGAGAGAACCATTAAGCAGTATACCAAATCCTTTATCAATATACTAGCATACCATTCTTGTCTAACATCGTTTTCGAACACTAGATGGCAACAGCTACTGAAAACCCGGCAAACACAACCATATATAAAGGGAAGCCCACACACTACAGGTAACAGATATGCCCATGTACCTATTGTTGAATTTGACTAGCGGCGCCAATTGAAATACGATTTTTTGGGGCTGAATGAGGGCCTGAGTTTGATTCACAATTCTTTCCACGAAACATGCATTTTCACATGAGATTTTGTTCCCTGCTAAGTGGCCTCCAATGCCCTGACATCCAATGCCCTGACATTGAAATTAAAAATATTTGCTGAATTGTCTCTCAGGAGTAACCCTCTGAAACAGAACCGGAAGTCATGGGGTACTGCCGCAACGATCTGACACGTGCAGCTGATCCTGATACGGTTGGGGATCAGAGGATGTGAGCAGCTTAAGTAGCTGCAACTAGCCACTCCCACAACTACAGGCTCTCGCCTTTTAATAGCACAGTCCGTAGACTGTTATATATGTTTCTGCTGAATATGAGTTCAAGCAAACAAGATTATAAAAATGAATAACCAAAATTAGGCGATGCTATCAAACATTGCATGATCATTCATGTTTTTAAACAAGGGTTGACTGGGGGTTGGAAATAAATGTGACCATTTCTAACAGCTTCTAATTTAACACTCTCATTCAAATGCATATTTTATACGTAAATGTCCAGCTGTATAAATGCAACAATACAGATTGTAGAGTCTATCAATAAAAGCATTTTATTATACGATTATGCTCACATGAAATAAAACTCCAATATACATGAGGATAAATTACTCATTCAAATCAGAGATTCTAAACTTGCCCAGACCAATTCTACCTGGGACAAGGTCGGTAGCAGTTTAGTTTAAAGGGGTGGTATTTGATGGGAGATGTTCATCCAGGACACACAATCCAGCTGGCAAACAGTCTTATCATCCAGGTGGCGTTAGAGGTCATTTGAAGATTCACATTGCAGCTTTTTAATTATATCATGTCATCATCATCCCCCTCTTGCCTTTTCCTGACTAAAGAAAACGAAAGAAAATAGTTAGTGGCATACACTAATCTTCGTCCGAGATTAAAATTTAGATCCTGATATATATACCTTTTGCATTAAATTATGGACCACGGTAAAAGTCACAACATCAGATAAAAAGGAACTTCAAGTGTTTATTTATAATCTCAGACAATCCACAGCACTGTCCGTTAAATACAGTACTGTTCATTTCTGTATTTAAGTGTTCTTGCTAAGCTTTAGTCCTGATAGTTTTCACAATATGACCATTTGTTTGCAACTCACGTCGTCCATTGACATTCATTGAAACTACACTCTAGCCTGCTCAAACTTGAAGGGCAATTTCTAAACTGAGATTGTGCCTTCAGTTTTAATATTGCAGAGACATACTATGCATCAAAATGTAGGTCTGGGTCTTGTGATTCTCACAATATAAAGCTCTTTGCTGTAGGATGTATAGTTTAAAAAATATGACCATTTGAAGATGGCAACCACCAGAATACTCTGACCTGTGCCAGGCTGGAGCAGCAAGTGATGTCATATACAGGGCCTTTTGTACACCTGCTAATGTTTTTATAAATGTATGTTTTAACCCCTTAACGCCGTTATGGCGTTCTATGCCGTCGCGGCTTTAAAGGGCTTTAAAGCCGTTGCGGCATAGAATGCCGTAACGGCTGCAGCCCCCAGGACCTCGGCGGTACTCACCTCCGCCGCGATCCTCTTCTGGAGGGCTGCCTGACAGACCAGGCAGCCCTCCCCCGGCAAGTGAGGTCATACAAAGTGTATTTTAATACTAATATTATTATATATATTAATATTAAAATACACTTAGAATGACGTTACAGATATTTTCAAATGGTATGTCATTATGGGGGTAATTCTCATTCCTGGGCTACCACACCGTCTCAAAGGTAACATTACTAATCTGGTAAATTTCAATTTGAAAATGGAACGTTCTATATTTGACCCTGTAACTTTCCAAAACACCATAAAACCTGTTAATGGGGGGTACTGTTGTACTCGTGAGACATCACTGATTACAAAACATTTTTTGCAGTAAAACCTAACAGTATTATGACATTTACAGCTAAAATGTGAGGCGGTACTACAGATTTTTTTTTAAAAATTAAAATTTCTCACAGTTTTTTAATTTTATTAATAATAAATTATGTTTCATATATAAATATTTGATATGAAATGAAAGCCCTGTTTCTCCTGAACAAAATGATATATAGTAAGTGTGGGAGCATTTAATATGAAAGAGGTGAACTACGGTTGAACAGACATATAACACAAATTCCAGTTTTTGTTTACGTTTTGTTTTGATCAGAACGTGCACTATTGACTCCGTCCTGAAGGGGTTTATGTAACTGTGAAGCACTTTAGGCAACAACGTTGCAATTAAATGTACCATATATATAATGGTAAAACGCCTGGGAAGTGACAGTTCTATTTTAAACGCTCAGGTCAGGGTCAGCACAGATTGAGATCTCTCTGTCTCTGGGTAACTGAACGGTAGAAATGCTACTACTAGAGCCTTACCCGGCTTTGCTGGTAAAGGTGCATTCAAAGCAGGTTAGCACTTTCCTTGTGCTCCTTGAAGGGAAACAAGAAAAGCATTAGTGCAGGGTAAAAAATAAAACAAAAAACACCGCAAGAGAACACACAAAAACAAAAGATAAATAAAACAAACAAAAAAAAAACAAGACACTTAAAATTCACGTTGACTATCACTTACAACGTGGCTTACAAACTTGTCTAACCAGAGGTTAGGCGGGGGCAACACTTTTCATGTGAATAGCAACAGCGTGTATATGCTTTATTAAATATAGGAAAGAAGTAAACATAATAATAAAACGCCTGGGAGGTGACGGTTCCACTTTAAATGCTCAGGTCAGGGTCAGCACAGATTGAGATCTCTCTGTCTCTGGGTAACTGAATGGTAGAAATGCCACTGCTAGAGCCTTACCTGGCTTTGCTGGTAAAGATGCCCCAGGCACATTCGATAGAGGCACAGTTTCTGGACTATGAAGCTCCAGACGATTATTTTCCAGATCAATTTGTTCCAGTCCCTACAATCAGTTCATGCTAAGGTTATAAAAAAAAAAATAATAATAAACCCATGCCTCACAAAATACATTTTACAAACATGATGCCAGCTATCCATGGAGAATTCTGAATATTTAATATAGAATAGAAATATGTTATGGATAAATATAAGATTAGCTTTCACAATAGCTAAATATCTTTGTAACATTGTACCTGTTTGTAAGTATGTGTCCGCAATGTGGTGAAACACAGTAAGCAGGTTAGCACTTTCCTTGTGCTCCTTGAAGGGAAACAAGAAAGGCATTAGTGCAGGGTAAAAATTAAAGAAAGACAACATAACAAGAGAACACGATAAATTAAACAAAAAAAAATATGTTTGGAATTCACACTGAGCATCACATAAAATGTGCTGTCCTTGGGAAGACTTGTCAAACCAGAGGTTAAGCTGAGCAGCACTTTTCATGTGAAGAGCAACAGCCTGTATATGCTTTATTAAATATAGGAAATTAGTAACTGAACAATAGAAATGCTCCTACTAGAGCCTTACCTGGCTTTGCTGGTAAAGACGCGTTCGATAGAGGCACAGTATCTGAACCACAAAGCTCTAGAAGATTATTTTCTAGATCCTCTTGTTCTAGACCCTCCAATCAGCTCTTCTTAAAATTTAAAAAATAATGAAAAAAATGATAAACCCATGCCTCATGAAATACATTTTACAAACATGCTAGCTATCCATGGATAATTCTGTATATTCAATATAGAATAGAAATATGTTAAAGGACCACCATAGTGCCAGGAAAACATACTCATTTTCCTGGCACTATAGTGCCCTGAGGGTGCCCCCTCCCTCAGGGTCCCCCTCCCGCCGGGCTCTGGGGAGAGGAAGGGGTTAAAATTGTACCTTTCTCCAGCGCCGGGCGGGGAGCTCTCTGCCTCCTCTCCTCCTCTTCTGCTGAATGCGCATGCGCGGCAGGAGCTGCGCGCGCATTCAGCCAGTTTCATAGGAAAGCATTTACAATGCTTTCCTATGGACGCTGTCGTCTTCTCACTGTGATTTTCACAGTGAGAAGCACGCAAAAGCCTCTAGCGGCTGTCTATGAGACAGCCACTAGAGGATTTGGAGGCTGGATTAACCCATTTATAAACATAGCAGTTTCTCTGAAACAGAAATGTCTAACAGATATCAATATTTTGTCTTAATTTATGTTTTTGGGTTTGTTTGCTCTTTGTCTTACAAATAACTCTACTCAGACATATCACTGTAATATTGTACCTGTTTGTACACAGCAAGAGAAAATAAAAGATAAATTAAACAAAAAAAAAGCAAAATGTTTCAAATTCATGGAAAGACTTGTCTAACCAGAGGCGAAGCAGGGCCACACTTTTTCTGTGTAGAATAGCAGTGTGTATACGCTTCATCAAATATAGGAAATAAGTAAACATAATAGTAAAATGCATGAGATGTGAGGGTTTCACTTTAAAGGTGCACTTCAGCTAAGTAAAGTGGTCTGGGTGCAATGTCCCTGTCAGTTTAACCCTGCAATTGTAATTATTCCACTTTTTGGAGGTTTGGTTGTTGTCTAATCTGTAGACAGTTCTCTATCTTGCGGCAGGAGATTGTATTTTTGAAGTCTGAGATTTGTAAATTATCTGGTGTAGAAACTCAGACTGGAACTGCTGCAAAGCCACTGCCGCAGAGACATGCTAGGAAAGGCAGATGGATTACTGTAGGATCTGGTAGACTTAGAGTTGTGGATAAAAGGCATTTTGCACAGTCTGTTGCTCTTCATAATTCATTTTCTGCACTTTCAGAGTGTAATGGTGTTGTGGAGAGAGGCACCGAGGCTAGTGGTGTTGTGGAGAGAGGCACTGAGGCTAGTGGTGTTGTGGAGAGAGGCACTGAGGCTAGTGGTGTTGTGGAGAGAGGCAATAAGACTAGTGGTGTTGTAGAGAGAGGCACTGAGGCTAGTGGTGTTGTGGAGAGAGGCACTGAGGCTAGTGGTGTTGTGGAGAGAGGCACTGAGGCTAGTGGTGTTGTGGAGAGAGGCACTAGAGGCTAGTGGTGTTGTGGAGAGAGGCACTAAGACTAGTGGTGTTGTAGAGAGAGTCACTGAGGATAGTGGTGTTGTGGAGAGAGGCACTGAGGCTAGTGGTGTTGTGGAGACCGGCTTGGAGACTATGGTGAGGCCTAATAGAAAGCAGTTGTTGTTGGGTGATTCCATTATAAGAGGTGTGGAGATGGACAATGGTGGTCTTGTGAGGTGTCTTCCCGGAGCTACTGCTCACAGAGACAGGAGACGTATCTGTAATATTGTTAAGCAAGCAAAGCAGGAAGGGGAATTGGATGTACTTGTCCATCTAGGGACAAATGACTTGGCTTGCAATGAGGTTTCAGAGGTTAAGGAAGTTTTTAGTGTTTTTGCCAATGATATACGGCAGGTTGCTTCCACACTTTCATTCTCTGAAGTTCTGCCTGTGCATAACACTCAGAACGACAGGCGGATGCGTATTAGGGACTTTAATTTGTGGCTTGGTGAATGGTGTCGGGAGCAAGGATTTGGCTTTATTTCTCATGGTAGCTCTGGTTGGAATGGAGATAAGCTGTACAAAAAAGATGGTTTCTCAAAAGGGAACAAATGTTCTCAGTGAGCAGTTCAGAGGTTTTGCTAGAATGTATTTAAACTAGGAGGGGGGGCAAGAGGGTGATAAAACATCAATCAAATTGTCCCCCAAAACAAGGACAGAAGGTGCCTGTAGCAAGTGTGTTAAAAATGATAAGCTTAGAGTCATGTCTACAAATGCTCTCAGTTTAGGGAATAAGGTCCATGAACTTGTGGCAATAATGGCATCTGATATTGTAGATTTAGTCGCTGTTACTGAGACATGGTATAATGAGAAAAATGACTGGGACATAGCAATACCAGGGTACTCTTTATATAGGAAAGATAGGGAAGGCAAGAAAGGGGGAGGGGTGGCCTTGTATGTGAAGGATAGCATAAAATCTAGCCTAATAAAAGTTAGTGAGGCAAACATAGAGTCCGTGTGGGCTACGTTAGAATTTGGTAATCACACAGTAACTCGTGTAGGTGTGATTTATAGGCCCCAGGACAAATTGAAGAGTTAGATAATCTACTAGTTGAGGAAATAGCTAAAATGACAATGAAGGGGGAAGTTATCATCATGGGTGACTTTAATCTTCCTGATGTAAATTGGAAAACAAAATTAGCTACTTGTGCCAGGAGCACACATATCTAAACTCCCTACTGGGATTGTCTCTAAAACAAGTTGTTGAGGAGCCAACTCGTAAAGAGGCCATACTAGATTTAGTGTTAACAAATGGAGATTTGGTATCAGATATTACTGTAGGTGAAAGTTTAGGATCCAGTGATCATCAGTCAGTGTGGTTTAATATAAGAACAGTGACTGAGTCACACCACACAAAAACAAAAGTTTTAGACTTTAGAAAAACAGACTTTTCTAAAATTAGAATATTGGTAGAGGAGTCATTATCAGACTGGAGCAATTTAAATGGAGTCCAAGAGAAATGGGATTATTTAAAAGTTGCACTATTGAAGGCAACAGAAAATTGCATTAGGCTTGTCAGTAAAAGCAAAAAATTCAAGAAACCACTGTGGTACTCCGCAGATGTGGCCAAAATAGTTAAAAACAAAAAGTTAGCATTTAGGAATTATAAAAAAACCCAGAGTGAGGAAGACAAAATGATCTATAAGATTAGGCAGAAAGAGGCTAAGCAAGTTATAAGAGCTTCCAAATCACACACAGAAGAGAAAATAGCACAGTCAGTAAAAAAGGGGGATAAAACATTTTTTAGATACATAAATGAGAAAAGAAAAGTAAAACAAGGATTAATTAGATTAAAAACAAAAGAAGGAAGGTATGTAGAAGAGGATAAAGGTCAGGCTGACTGCCTCAATGAATATTTTTGTTCTGTATTTACAGTAGAAAATGAAGGAAAGGACCTCAGTTGAGAAAAAGGATAAATGAGTCATTTATTACACGTGAGTTTACAGAGGAAGAGGTTCTATTTCAACTGTCAAAAGTAAAGACAAATAAGTCAATGGGACCTGATGGAATACACCCAAAGCTATTAAAAGAGCTTAGTGGTGTACTAGCAAAACCATTAACAGATTTATTTAACCAATCATTGTTAACAGGAGTAGTCCCAGAAGATTGGAAGTTAGCGAATGTTGTGCCCATTTACAAGAAAGGTAATAGGGAGGAGTCGGGCAACTATAGGCCAGTAAGCCTTACTTCAGTAGTGGGGAAAGTGATGGAAACCATGTTAAAGGATAGGATTGATGAACATCTAAAAACACATGGATTTCAAGATCAGAGACAACATGGGTTTTACTTCAGGGAGATCATGCCAAACTAATCTTATTGATTTTTTTGATTGGGTAGCTAAAATTATAGATCAGGGTGGTGCAGTAGACATTGCTTACCTAGATTTCAGTAAGGCTTTTGACACTGTTGCACATAGAAGGCTTATCAATAAACTGCAATCTTTAAGTTTGGATTCAAATATTGTTGAATGGGTAAGGCAGTGGCTGAGTGACAGGCAACAGAGGGTTATAGTTAATGGAATATATTCGAAGCTTGGACTTGTCACCAGTGGGGTACCTCAGGGATCTGTACTTGGATCCATTCTCTTTAATATTTTTATTAGTGATATTACAGAAGGTCTTGATGGTAAGGTATGTCTTTTTGCTGATGATACTAAGATATGTAACAGGGTTGATGTTCCAGGAGGGATAAGCCAAATGGCAAATGATTTAGGTAAACTAGAAAAATGGTCAAAATTGTGGCAACTGACATTTAATGTGGATAAGTGCAAGATAATGCATCTTGGGCGTAAAAACCCAAGGGCAGAGTACAGAATATTTGATAGAGTCCTAACCTCAACCTATGAGGAAAGGGATTTAGGGGTGATTATTTCTGATGACTTAAAGGTAGGCAGACAATGTAATAGAGCAGCAGGAAATGTTAGCAGAATGCTTGGTTGTATAGGGAGAGGCATTAGCAGTAGAAAGAGGGAAGTGCTCATGCCATTGTACAGAACACTGGTGAGACCTCACTTGGAGTATTGTACACAGTACTGGAGACCTTATCTTCAGAAGGATATTGATACCTTAGAGAGGTTCAGAGAAGGGCTACTAAACTGGTTCATGGATTGCGGGATAAAACTTACCAGGAAAGGTTAAAGGATCTTAACATGTATAGCTTGGAGGAAAGACGAGACAGGGGGGATA